ATTTGTTCTGGAGGTCCGTACTTAACCTGAAACTGTTCTTAACCTGAAGCACCACTTTAGCTAATGGGGCCTCCTGCTGCTGCCGCGCCGCCAGAGCACGATTTCTGTTCTCATCCTGAAGCAAAGTTCTTAACCTGAAGCACTATTTCTGGGTTAGCGGAGTCTGTAACCTGAAGCATATGTAACCTGAAGCGTATGTAACCCGAGATACCACTGTACATTTGAATTGGGGTAGGTTTGTTTAAGCAAAGACATTTTAAAACAGCATAGGTGTTGCCACACTGAAGGCTGACTACTGACACATACAGAAAAACAACAACAACACAACATTAGATGACATTTATAAATGTGCTAGATCCACAGAGCAAAGCGGTCAAAGCAAAGCAGCTAACAGTCTATTTCCAAGCTGTTTGAAGACTTTGATGGCTTTAAAGGGGTATTAGATCAGGTAATCAATGGCCACTGGTTATGGTGCCTTGTAGGATGCAAATTACAGTTGGTCTTTACTTGCCATGCTGAATCCCTGTCAAATATCCAAGAGCTGGGAGGTGCAGAGATACTCTAGTCTCAAAATCTAGAGCAGCAACTTGCTGCCCCACCCAGCCTCAATCTATCGTCAGCTGGATCCCACCAGCCTATCTTCCTTCTTACAACCAGTCCAAGAGGTGCACTGCTTTCTCCTCCTTCCTAGTCTCAGTTTTGCCCTTGTCGAACTTAGCAGGGAGGAGAAGCACGGTAGCAACACAAGAATTAGCTGTCCTCACCTGTCATTGCCTCTGGCTCTTCATACTGTTGGTGTCCCTGATGTCCGCTCTACCAGTCCCTATGGGGAGCAGCCCCCACTTCTGCTGACTTGAACGGTTGGTCCACGCAACAAAAATCTGCCTTATGCTCAGTTGAACCATTAGTCCATCTAACTCAGTATTGTTTGCACCAGGGGGACGTTGGTGATGCTGTGCTCTAAACCACTGAGCCTCTTGGGCTTGCCGATCGGAAGGTTGGTGGTTCAAATCCACATGATTGGATGAGCTCCCATTGCTCTGTCCCAGCTCCTGCCACCTTAGGAGTTCAAAAATGACTCCAGTGCAAGTAGATAAATAGGTACCGCTGTGGTGGGAAGGTAAACGGCGTTTCCGTGCTCTCTGACTTCTGTCACGGTGTTCCCAGAAAGCTGTCTGTGGACAAATGTTGGCTCCCTCAGCCTGAAAAGTGAGATGAGTGCTACAACCCCATAGTCGCCTTTGACTGGACTTAATCATTCAGGGGTCCTTTACCTTACCTTTACGCATCTGACTCATTATTGTTTGCACAAGGGGTGGGGATCGTCAGACCTAGGTGCCAAATGTAGTTCTCCAGGCCGTTGTGACTCTACTCAGGCTACTCCCCTCTCCCCAGGCTGCCCATTCCCCTAACTGGCCCTGCTTTGCACCATCCTTGAGTGTTTTTTTTTGCCTGGCTGGAATGTGTCATTGAACTCTGGCTCTTGCTTGCATGGATGGAGGAGGGAAAGGTGTGTGTGTGTGTGTGTGTGTGTGTGTACAGAAATAGACAGAAATGTTTTTCTTCCTTGCTCATAGTACTAGAACCTAATGGGGCCATGCAATGAAGCTGAATGTTGGAAAATTCCAGACAGACGAAAGAAAGTATATCTTCAGATAGCAGCACATAACTATGTAACTTGCCACTACAAGAGGCATTGATGGCTACCAACTAGCACAGCTTTCAAGAGGATTAGACAAATTCATGGAGGATGAGGCTATCAATGGCTAATAGCCACAATGGCTATGTTCTATCTCCACTGTCGGAGGCAGTATGCCTCTGAATGTGGGTTGCTGGGGACTGCAGGTGATGTTGTGCTTGTAGGCTCCCCATAGGTTAACCATGTGGGAGCAAGATGGTGGAAGAGATGGGCCAATATCCTTCTCCGGCAATCAGGCTCTTCTTATGTTCTTGCTTTGCTTCTAAGATAAATGGCACAAGCAAAGGCTTGGTAGCTGCCACAAAGAAGGAGAAAGAAAGGATGGATGGCGGCTAACAGATTGAGGTTGAATCCTGACAAGACAGAAGTACTGTTTTTGGGGGACAGGAGGCGGGCAGGTGTGGAGGATTCCCTGGTCCTGAATGGGGTAACTGTGCCCCTGAAGGACCAGGTGCGCAGCCTGGGAGTCATTTTGGACTCACAGCTGTCCATGGAGGCACAGGTCAAATCTGTGTCCAGGGCAGCTGTGTACCAGCTCCATCTGGTACGTAGGCTGAGACCCTATCTGCCTGCGGACTGTCTCGCCAGAGTGGTGCATGCTCTGGTAATCTCCCGCTTGGACTACTGCAATGCACTCTACGTGGGGCTACCTTTGAAGGTGACTCGGAAACTACAACTAATCCAGAATGCGGCAGCTAGACTGGTGACTGGGGGCGGCCACTGAGACCATATAACACCGGTCTTGAAAGACCTACATTGGCTCCCAGTACGTTTCCGAGCACAATTCAAAGTGTTGGTGCTGACCTTTAAAGCCCTAAAGGAGCGTCTCCACCCCCATCGTTCTGCCCGGACGCTGAGGTCCAGTGCCGAGGGCCTTCTGGCGGTTCCCTCATTGCGAGAAGCAAAGCTACAGGGAACCAGGCAGAGGGCCTTCTCGGTAATGGCGCCCACCCTGTGGAACGCCCTCCCATCAGATGTCAAAGCGATAAACAACCACCTGACATTCAGAAGACATCTTAAGGCAGCCCTGTTCAGGGAAGTTTTTAACGTGTGATATTTTACTGTCTTTTTTGTTTCTATGGAAGCCGCCCAGAGTGGCTGGGGAGGCCCAGCCAGATGGGCGGGGTATAAATAATAAATTATTATTATTATTATTATTATTATTATTATTATTATTATTAATAATATGCCAAGAGGAAGACCAGCTGCTAAGCCCCCTCTCCATCAAGTTCTCTGAGAAGAGGTTTAGCCAAGTCGTACAGTAAGCAGCTGGAGAGAGAACCAGCCCTCACAAAAGCACAAAGAATGAAAGATCTGCAGATTGCTTTTTGAAAAAGAAAGCCTTGATGAAGATGGACATTGCAACAAACGAAATATTTAACTAGAATGACCCTGGCTGGAGTGATGTCAAGAGTAATAAGTAACACACTTGTCAGATTTTTGTTCAGTCATTCCCGCCTTTCTTGCCCTGAACTCGGGCCACCCTTAAAAAGAAAAAAGAAGTGGTGTAAAGACAAGGGAATACTTTTAGAACTTCATTCCATCTGAGGAGCGAAACTGAAATGAATTAATAACAAGAGGCTCCTCCAGACTGAGTTTTTTTTAGTGTGTGTGTGTATGTGTGTGTTCTGGTGTGTATTCTGCTGCATATCATTGATGCTGTGATACCATATTCATGGTAGATTTATATAGCACTGTTCACACATAATTCTTATTTATTCTGAGATGCTTCTCTAACATTGCCCCATTACTGCTGCCTAGATATGTAGGAAATTGCTGAAGTCTGACCATTGGTCAATCTAGCTTAGTATTGTCTATACGAACTAGCATTGGGTATAGGGGGTGTTAGGAAGGGGTAGTACCTCTGGTGAGGGACACCTTGTGTTCCTTTTGGAGTACAGTGGTACCTCGGGTTAAGAACTTAATTCGTTCTGGAGGTCTGTTCTTAACCTGAAACTATACTTAACCTGAGGTACCACTTTAGCTAATGGGGCCTCCCACTGCCACTGTGCTGCCGCTACACGATTTCTGTTCTCATCCTGAAGCAAAGTTCTTAACCCGAGATACTATTTCTGGGATAGCAGAGTCTGTAACCTGAAGCGTCTGGAACCTGAAGTGCCTGGAACCTGAGGTACCACTGTAGTTTGTCCACCTTTGGTCCCCACCTTACACTCAGTTCTCACCTTTGGGTCTTAGAAGCTGTCTGCCTGCAACAGTGGTCACACCCTGGGAAACGGCTTCGACTGGCCAGCTAAACCAGGTGAGGATACTCAATGCTAAGGTAGGCTCCAGTGGATTGAGTGGATGAGACCAATAGTAGGTCTGAAGGTCAAGAAGGCGGTTTCAGCACATTCATTAGAAGGAAGTGAGGGGCAGATAGGGCTCATCAACCTGGGAAGGGAGCCCATCTAGCAGAAGGAAAACTCTGATCCTAAACCTCCACTGCCTTGTGGGATATCTTTGGGAGAAGAAAAGGCTAAGGAGTGAGCCCTACACAAATCCAAAGTGGAGTCCCTAAGGTTGTTGGATGGCTCCTTGACTGCCTCCTTCCAGCAACTCCTGCAGCCAACCTGGTGCCAAATGTACTGCTCTGCTTTCCTTTGGACCACAACAGTGAGAATGAGAAGGGGGTCTTGTCATCTGGTCAGCCCAGGATCTCCACACACACTGTCCAGGCTTGTGCCCCAGAGATGAAGTCACCATAATGCTATACAGTGGTACCTCGGGTTAAGTACTTAATTCGTTCTGGAGGTCCGTTCTTAACCTGAAACTGTTCTTAACCTGAAGCACCACTTTAGCTAATGGGGCCTCCCGCTGCTGCTGCTGCTGCGCCGCCAGAGCACGATTTCTGTTCTCATCCTGAAGCAAAGTTCTTAACCCGAGGTACTATTTCTGGGTTACCGGAGTCTGTAACCTTAAGCGTCTGTAACCTGAAGCATATGTAACCCGAGGTACCACTGTATTTATCATATCATTCTGATGTGATGCATGGGTGTAGCCAGGATTTTTGTTGGGGGGGGGCAGAACTTTTTTTGGGGGAAAAACCAACTTGATTGGTCACTTAGTTATTTCTATTGTTTGACTGCCCAGGCTTGCACCCCAGAGAGGTCACTTTGGTGCTGCTAACACAAGAAAATTGAAGTAGTTATGAGTTAATGGTCTCTGCAGCCAGACTGTGATTTTCCAGCAGTTTAACTTCATCCCTGGAGGTGCACTCTATTGTTTTTCAAGACAGACAGATGTCAACAAAACTGACACAAACTGTCTAGAATTTCAGACAGGTTTTTCTTCCAGCCCTACTTGGAGATGCTGGGGATTGAACCTACGACCTTCTGCATGCAGTGCAGATGGTCTACCACTGAGCTACATCCCTTCCATGTTGTTTGGATGGCCTTCCTACAAGCTTCTCAGAGGTGGAGAGGAGGAGCAGGTCCAGGGGGCTCTTGTCATTGGGCCCCCAATGGAGTGTGGACCTTGACAGGTGCTTGACCATGTTGACACTTGCTGCCAACCCGGACCATGTGAACTGCCATGATCTTATTGCAGGAAGGATGGAATAAAACTCAGGTATCTGTTCCAAGTAGGCTGCAGTGCTGGCTGGAAGGTCATGTTGCCCAACAGGAGTCCTTGGGAAACAAGCTACCTATGTTTTAAATTTACACGACACCCACCTTGCCATACTTCCAGAGCTGGGAATGACTCATATTGCGGGGGGTGGAGTGGAGGGGGAGGCCTTCTCTGTCTGGAAACTGTAATGTGCAGATCAACCATGCATGGGGCCCATTGTTCAAGAGGCTGTGCTCCCCTGCGAATGTCACTCTGAGAAGACGCTGTGGAATGAAGCATTAATGAGCGAGTCACGTTTATTGTATATAATTGAAATACAGAGCAGAGCTATTTCTAGGGTGTTTTTTTTTATTCCTCTCTCCGAGGAGAGCCATATCTTGGAATCAGTTGGCTTAGGAGAAAGGGGCTTTCATGCAGCTTCCCATCAGGCACATTTGGGATTAAGGCTTCTTGTCAGTCTGTACTTGTGGAAACTCTGAGGCATAAACTGATCTCTTCTGAGGGGCATCATTATGAGAAAATCTCTAGCCTTCCTGCAATTAGTAAAAAGGTAGCCAATGAGCTTTTCCTACAGCATCCCAGCTTTATGTTGTTGGTGGATGACTTGAGAGCACTCAGTGATTTTTCAGTATGTTACATGGGTGTATAAGAAAACGGAATCGCAAGCTATAAATTCACCTTTTCCAGGTAATAAGTTTACTCGTTCCAGTCGGTTGCTGTGGAGATAGCAGCAGTACTGGACCTTGGCAGGATGACAAGCAATTAAAATACCAAGATGCCTCACCGTGTTCAAGCATTTTCTCACAGGGAGACCTCTGAGCTTTGCCTGCTTCTGACATTGTTAGTTATTGAATCAATTACACAATATGGGTTTGACAGGTGTAATTATATATTCGTAGGGTGATTATGTATGACCTGTCGTTCAGACCAATGAACAAGCTTGTTCCCTTGATTCATTTCAGCAGTCAGCTTCTCAAAGCAGGATTACTGAAGCTGGGCAGGCGGCTTTGAAGCGAAGCAAAACAATGTATAAATGCATTAGACAAAACAGGGTGGGTTGGTCAGGGAGCTGAAGGTTATGGGCAATGCCTGGGAGTGTGGATGCCCACAGCTCAATTCTCACCTCAGCAGTTAATGAGACAAAGCAGCAGGACTTCCCACCCCACCCCACCCCACCCTCAGCCCTAGACCTGCAATATAGATAGAATAGCATCAGCCTACTCAACAGGACTGTTGTGCTGATTAGAGTGAGAATACATGTGAAATATCCCATTTACTCTGCTTGCACAGATGATGAGGGTCTCTGGAAAAGAGGGTGTCACTCTCAGGTAGGTGGAAAGGCTCTCTTAGAAGGGACTTCAGGGGAATGAGTTGATATCCTTGCACTGAGGATACACCTCTTAGTGCACCACATGGCATCTTGCTTGCCTGATGAGAAGGTTGCAGGTGTCACATTTTGTCTAGACAGACTGAGAACATATGAATAGCCTGCTGGATCAAGCCAAAGGGGGGGGGGTCATATAGTCCGGCATCCTGTTCTCACAGTGGCCAGTCAGATGTTTGTGGAAAGCCCTCAAGCAGGACCCAAGAATAAGAGCAGCTCTCCCCTCCTGTGGTTTCCAGCAACTGGTAATCAGAGGCACACTGCCTCCAACCATGGAGCCAGTGTATTCCCCACTCAGAGATACAATTCTTAACAGAGGGATTGGTTGTTAAGCCACTGTGGGAACTGTGTGGGGAACATGGGTCTCTTAACAACTCTCAGCACTCTTAGCAAATGACAGTTCCTAGGGTTCTCTGGGGGAAGCCATGGTTGTTTACAGTGGTATGATGAAGCTTAAATGCACAGTGTGGATGTCGCCTTCATCTCATCTTCTATTAAGAGGCCAGATTATAGAACACTCATGGGAAACCTCTGACCCATGGACTAATCTGGGACCACCAGTCCTCCCCATTTTGCTCACAAGATTGTATATGAGATCCTGACAACATCTATTGCTAATGCTGAGTGATGGTGGGTGGAGGGAGAGATTGCAAAGCCATATTTGCTGACATCTTGATTTCTTGATGTGCTAATGGTCATTTCCATCTGCAGTGTAGAATTATATTATGTTTTCAAACGTAGCATTGGGGATGAAGTGAGATGTTGTCCAGTGCCAAATACTTACTTTTGCAATGATTTTTTGTTTTCTAACTCCTTTGGACTAGTTGAAATGTAGAAATGATTTTTATTTTAAAGGAACATTCACATAAGGACGCAAACAGCAAGCAGATGAAATGGGACTTAAGCCATTAAACTGGAAGTGATCAGGATGTTTAGTTGCCTCCTCCTGGTGGAAGAGTCTACTACGAGTTGATCCAGTTTCCATCTGCAGTGTCTTTTTCCAGTAGAATCTCTTCCAAGTCCAGATCCTAGCTGCTTTTCTGATCTCACACTCTATATCATGTGCAGAACGCACACCCTTTGCTGATGTTCCAAAGAAATTTCTCAAGTGTCCACTCTTTTGCACAAAGTTCCTGCAGATTTCCTGCTTGGAAAGAAGCCTTTCTGGCAGCATAGGATCCCCTGAATGTAGGGGATTCCTCCAGCTCTAGGAAACGGTGCAGGCCCTCTCTGATTACATCAGATTGCTACTCTGGGAACACAGGAAGCTGTCTTATTGTCATGGACTGGTTGGACGCAGAGGAATGGTGGGAGGAACCAGTTGGGGAACCCTCAGAGGAAAATGGTTCAGAGCCAGAGGATTTGCTGTGGGATACCAATGAGTGTCAGAGGTAGAAGAATCATAGAGTTGTAGAGTTCGAAGGGACCCTGAGGATTATCTAGTCCAACCCCTGAAATGCAGGAACATGAGTGTCAGTGAGTGTCTGCCCTTATTCCCTTCTCGGGGACAGAAGAGCCCTTATAGAGTCCTTTGCAGCTTCTCCATCAGTCGGAGAAAATAACAGAGGCCAACCAGAGATTATTGAGAAGCAAAGCAGCTCGTAAGCCTGATCTTTATTGAACTGCTGCAACAGGGTGCTCCCCTCACACCCAGGAGAAGGAGGAGGACCCAGAACCCAGGTGTGCCCGCCCTTATATAGACATTTTAAATTGCCTGCCCTGGAGTTCAAGACCACCCCCAGACACATCATACCTACATCACAGAAAGGGCGGTCTACAACAGAAATCTGAGTGCTGTTGTTTACCTTCTGTCTGGCAGGTTACCTGTTAATGCTTACTTGATTGGATACCCTGGGAAGCCTGGCCGGTCTTTTGCAATGATAAATACTTAGTTCCTGAGCCAGGTCACAGGCTCACCCTATTCATACACAGACATACCCTCAAGACAGGATTTGTGAAGGAAAAGACAATGGGGAGGCTTTTCTATTTTCTTTTTCTTTTCTTTTTTATGTTTTTCCTTCTTTATTATTATTATTCAAAATTATAACAAGACATATTGTCCAAAAACATATCATCCTTGTTTCCCCCTCCATTTTTCCTCCCTCCCCCCCCGACCCCCCCACCCCACCCCCCGACTTCCCTCAGTTCCAGTCTTTGGTTTCTCTAAGAATGCTGTTTTCTGCATGTTACAAAGTTGTATAGATCCTCAAACTATTTAGCTGATTATTATCAATAAAAAGTTTGTGAATGTTTGTTCAAAACCTGCCAAGGAGTCCAGTTCGCTTTGTTGCGTCTTCAGATACTTTGTAAAGGGTTCCCATTCATCCTTAAAGTCACAGTTATCCTTGTCCCGTAGCTTATATGTCAGTTTTGCCAGTTCTGCATAGTCCATCAATTTTTCTTGCCATGATTCTTTAGTTGGAGTTTATTCAGACTTCCATCCTTGGGCTACCAGAACTCTCGCGGCCGTTGTCGCATACATGAAGATGTTTTTCAACTTTTTTGGCAGGTCTTTCCCTACAACCCCCAACAAAAATGCGTCAGGTTTTTAACAAATGTTAAATGGAACATTTTCTTCAATTCGTTGTATATCATTTCCCAAATTTTTTTGATTACCTTACAATCCCACCACATATGATAAAATGTTCCCTCCTTTTCCTTACACTTCCAACATATATTTGAACTAGTTTTGTACATTTCCCCTAACTGCACTGGTGTTGTACACCATCTGTACATCATCTTCATGTAATTCTCCTTCAATAGGGAACAATCTGTAAATTTTAAGTCAGTTTTCCATAATTTAACCCAATCTTCCATCATAATGTTGTGACCTACATCTTGTGCCCATTTAATCATAGCTGATTTTACCTCTTCATCTTTCGTCTCCCATTCTAATAATATGCTGTATGCATACTTCCATTTTCCATTGACTTTGTAGAGAAAACATTTGGTCAGTCTGGGAGCCAAAATGGCTTCATGGCTGTTTTCCTGTGCTGCTTCAGACATGTACGTGTTTATCTATTTATGTACGTGTTTATGTACGTGTTTGCTTGGTACATTATATATATATATATATATATATATATATATATATATATATATATATAACCTTAATTTTTTTATTTCAAGGGGGACCAAGAGGCAGAGATGAGTTCGGCTGGTGAAGAGTCACGGGTGTCTCTCCCTCCTCCTGCAACAAGCTCCTCTCCCCCTTGGTCTTTCAGAACCAGGAGAGGAATGAAGAGAATGGAGAAGTTAGCTCCATGCAGGCACAGTCTCAGGCTGCTTAGGAAAAGCCCTGGAGATGAGGGGACAAGCAGCTGTGGGGAGGTTGGGACCTTCAGTCTCAGCAACTGATCCATCAGGGCAAGGCCTACCAGAGATGAATTGCCATGCTCATTAGGTCTGCCACTCCTGCTTTT